AAATAGGTAATAGGTATTTATTACATAAACACAATGATACATATTATTATGCTATAGTACCAGCTATGTAGTATATACTCTTCGCAAAACCAATAAGATTTATTAGCGTACAAATAATTATTCGTATGCAGACGAACCTGCTACGATATATCATAATACTTTGATCAAATTTTTTTATAATACTATGCGTAGCCGGTTATAGGTGAAGATTAGCTTGTATACACACACGCAGTGCATATACATGAATCACGCATAATATATAATAATTAGTTAATTCGACTCAATGTCATTACGACATTACTAAAGTTGATTAAACCGGCTACCGCCGTTAGTTATCGACTTCGCTTCCTGTTGTAAATTTGATACTATAATTTCTTCGAAGTAACTGTTCTGTATCGATAACCATCGATAGAAGCGTGTTCAATACAATGGTGTATGTTTTTTTAAATGATTTTTTTTTTTTAATAAAACCCGTTTCTTAGAGGCTACATAATGCACTGTATAGTCAATAATCATTAGTACAGAGAATATTTGTGCCTATTTTCTTAATAAAATTTAGGTGTTTGTGCACTATGCGCACGAGGCGTAGACTACGATGGTTTCTTGCAGAAATGTTCATCGTTTATGTATTTTGGTCACGTTTTTATTGGTTCTATTAATAAATAAGTGGTTTTTGAATACCTTTTTTTTTTGTTTCCATTTAGTTTACACAAAAAATAATTAAATTAAGTAATACTAAGATTTGTTTTTTAATAAACACTTACTCATATGACGAAATTCTCCCACGAGATTGAATGAATTCTTGCAAGATCCCCGAATGATTAAATATCGCTTAAGGTGAGCTAAGGCTTTTCATATACAAAATATAACTTAAAACCGTCAACATCAAATAATCACAGTAAATAGTCATTAACTAGAATTTGTCACAACGCCACCGTAGGTAAGCTTTCAATTCTATACGGAGAAAATTATAGCGAAATAGCTACGTAATCTAGCCTATATATAATTTTAACTTTTCGGAATACAAACAAATTCAAATATACTTCTATAATAATTAACACACATCAGTGTCAGACAAGGTTAATTTTAAATTTTTTTTATAAATGTTATTTTATTTTTACAGTTTTGTCTGGCCACATTTAATTTTAAAAACCATCATGATGGAACTATAAAATATGTTGAATCCATAAAATAATATGACCAATGACCGCATACAAACGTCCTGGATTTACGTCTGTTAAATATTCGAGAACTTTTTACATTCCTTTAGGTTATTTTTAAAATGTACACTAAACACTTCTATTATAGCTTAAAATAAAATAAAAAATATTTTACAAATTAACATTTTTAAGATGCACACTATTAAAAACTGTAGTATACAAACATAATCGAATTTCGATAATATTTGATTCGCTTTCCTCTTATCATCTCATTGCTTTTATTGCAATATCTGTAAAATTCAATAAAACATAAATCATAAAGCTGTAGCAGGGACGCTGGCGGAATATTGGTTTGCTGCCTGGGCGGGTGCAAATATTATTATTAACCCTGCCCACTTATAAATATACATCAACCCTCTCCCTCATGCAGTGGTGTAGCCAGAGGAGCGTTCTAGGTTTTTAAGACCCCACATCCACAGTATTAAGCAAACAGTGTATTATGTAGCCATGTAGGTACCTACTATATGATTTAGATTTCTGCAAAATATGTAGTCATATGGTTCTATTTCATATTTTATATCATTTTTATGAAGATTTATGACTTTAATGTCGAGTGTGTAAAGCCCCCCTCTTACATGTTATATTTAAATCTAAAATAAAAACACTCCTCAAAAAAAATCCTCACTACTCGTCTGCCTATGTCGGAACGTCTAAGAAAATAGTAGTTTGCTTCTCAGCATTATAATACCTCGCTCTAGGTATCTATATACGAAAATTACGACGACATAGTACTCAATAGATGTGCTTCGATTTAATATTTTTAATATAGAACTCTATCTGCTACTCTATATATACCCTGCAATCATATTTATTATAATTGTATGTCTCATGACACTTATTATGTATAATATGGTGTCGTCAGAGTGTCGGGTCTATATAATATATATGTGTATAATATATGATCCCCAATAGCTAACCGTACGCAGCTAAGGTACATATATTATTATGCTTTACAATACAATTTCGAAATGTGACTTAACTATTAGTATACTATAGATATGATAGGTACGTTCTGTGTATAGATAATATGTTACATTATTATTATTTATACGGACGTCAGACTCGCTACCGCCACGCTTCCAGCAAATAATATGCAATTAAAAATTATGTATAATATGATTAACAATAATTATTATGTGTACATGATTAATAATATTATATATATATATACGATACGATACGATACGATACGAAACGTTGTGAGTTGTGGTGGTGGTGGTGGGTATACATGATATTAATATTAATCCGCCGTTTGGGCTGCTGTCGCTGTGTAGGTTCAAATCGAACGGCAGGCACCTACCTACGACACGCAACGCCGCCGCACGGATAATATTATATTATTATTATCATCGCGGGCCAGCCAATGTGTTTGTCGACGTCGACGGTGATATTCGTCAGTGTCTGCGTCCGTCCGCACGTCCGGCGCTGGTCCGTCTGGTCCGAATTCGTTTTCGTCAAGTTGTTTTCCATGTGCGAGTCGTTGTTGGATTTGTGATTTCTAACGCACGACAAGTCGCGTGTACGCGTCGTGTCGATCGACGTTTGCGGACGATAGCAAATCGCGTACGACAGCGATACGACTGCCGATCGTCCACGTCCGAGTGTGCTGGAGTAGGGAACATAATATAATAATATTATAAGTGAGTTTTAAAATATTATTACAAAATGTATCTATATGTCTTCCGATATCGCAAACTCGCGAGAGTTGTCAGGTTTTTTTTTTTGGTCATGGTTTATAATATTTTAGGCATCGCTCTAGTAAACGTGAATAATAGTATTTCGTATTTTGTGCCACATGTTGTCCGTACGTTTTTTTAAAATTGTTCCATCGTCGATTTATATACGACGTATCGTGTAGGCAGTTTTTATTTTCTTAATATTCATTACACCTCCCCCCCCCCTCATCAACTTTAATAGGAGACAAATTATATTTGAAAACACGTAAACGAGAACTTTTGAAGATCATAGAGCTATCCAAATAAAAGACTATTATAGGTCTTGGATGAAATAGTTTTATTTCGTCAAGCACCAATACCAAAAATATCATTTTTAAAAAAATTTTAAATTTTAAAAGACTCATTTAAATGTAAGTTAATACCTGACACATTATGCGATATAAATAAAGGACATATCTCTCTACCTCAGAATAGGATTGATAGACAATATTTATTGAAATAATCAAATCACTACTTTTTCATTTGGAAAAACTCGTAAGAATTGATTTTTAAACGTCAATCTTGGTTTTAAATTTCGCATAGGAAATATGAGAAAATATTATTTTATTATTTAATCTATTAAATATTTTTCTACCTAATGCTTTAAACTGAATATTTTATTTAAAACTTACATAATTGACTAGAACAAAACTTTATTAAAAAAGAGTTTTAGTTAGGTAACTATTATATGAGTAAGTTGTTTATAAACTTTGTAATTTTAACCTAATTCAGTTTTTAAATACACGAAATATGTAAGTAGCTACATTTGAAATTAATTCAAACAGTTTATTGTTAAAGAGAAAATGAAAACTTGAACGTTTGTCTATGTTGTCTGGGACCTGAGTTGACATATCGTTTTACTGTAGGTATAGGTATTTAGAGTCTAAATGAAATCTGCAGCAGAACAATTAAACGTGTATAGATTATCAAACCAAAAGTCGTCTGTTAATCGTAAAAACGAACGAACGTGTTATCATTAGTATTGAATTATTAATGAAAAATCAACAGTTTATACGTTATATCATATTGTACCTATTTAAATTAATTTTTATAACTCAAGTCGTAAAATTATTATAGTTGCTGCGCGACTGGTGGACGCTGCAGAATTTTAAAATCACATTTTATTTTATCGTTTTTCTCGCGCACGTTGGTGGTTAGTAATAATATTAATTAGTAACTACTCCGCGTGACACTACGCGACGTTGACACTTAAACCGTCGTCGTTCGTTTTGGCGCCACGTCCTAAATATATATACCTATATTATAATATTTTCCCAGTGTCGCGCGTGCCCCTGTCGTCCCACCCCTGTCGGCAATACATATTATTATACACAGGTATCCAGACATACGTATACCTACTCACCACTCACGTGCCGGATATGCAAATCAAGGAGCAGCACCGTACATATATCACATCGATAAATGACGATAATATATTTATATTTTATACATCATATTATTACATACGATATAATGGCAGCAGGTATTATAGTGTAAACGCACTTTTATATTATTATGATGAATTGGCCGGAGAGACTATACCGCACGTCTTGCATAATACATAAATATAATATTATATATACAGTGTTCACAGTAGGTAGGGTAGGCGCAGCAGTCCGTTTCGACGGCATAACCGGAAGGAAACCACTGTCCGGTAGAAATTAAAATAATAATAATGATAATATATTGTGTGTATAAAGCACTGCACGTTGAGGACGCCTGCTATTATGGTAGTCTCACACAATGCAGATAACGGCTAGTTCGGGGGGGAAAACGCCAAACGGTAAATAATAAATATATGTAGGCACAGGTACCCGATACGCACCACAGTGTACACACAATAATAATACTCCTTATATCGTCGTCGGGCGCCTTGCTGTATAGTATCGAACTTTGTACTATAGGTACCTATATTATTATATTTTATTTGTTCGTGTTGTATATTGGGTGAGTGTGAGAGAGAAAGAGAGAGAGAGAGAGAGAGAGAGAAAGAGAGAGATGTGTCGGAATAACTATGTAAATATTTGAATTTTAAAAAAAAACCGTCTGTATTGTTTGATCACAGGCATGAAATCCGACTGTTTGGACATCGTTATCGTCTCGAGCGGCGACAGCGAAGCCGCTATGATGTGGATTAATTTCCTCATCCAGTGTTTTCAACATTTCAATCAAAAGGAAAACAAATCACAATACAGGTAAATAATATATGCAGTGTATATGTAGTGTACCTATCTACTATACGCATAATATTATAATATAATGCCCGCCGAGAAAAAGTCGTATGAAATTAGTGATCACTGATCAGTGTATGGACCTATTAATACTGCATACACGAAAATCGTTTCAAATTATTTTTCCATGCTTCTTTAATGTGCGAGCTGATGACCCGATATTGTTTAAGTATTGTTAAATCGTTAACGATTAACAATAATTATGTTTAGGAAAAACACGGTACACTTTTTTGTACTCCTACATACATAATACAATATACTTACTTCATATTATAATTACTTCACACTATCTAAAAACAAATTTATGACATATTATGATGGCATGATGTATGATAATATTAATATTATAGAAACATTTAATATATAACTTCATTAAAATGTATTTACTGTTTTTAAGGTTAGTTATATCTCGTATATAATTCGTTTGTGTCACTTTAATGGCTTAGGACCACAGAGTTAGGTACCTACTTACCGATATCGACACAAATTCTATTTATTATTTTTTACCTTGTACTTGTGTAATTAATTTTGTTTTTCATCGTAATCTTTTATCGAATAATTATTCATTGTAAGTAGCTATAGTGATTTTTGTGTAGTTTTTATTTTTTTTTTTTATTCTGTAAATCAGTTAAAAGTTGTTATAAGTCGATGAATCAATTTTGTTATTAAATAGTTCACTTACTTTCGCTATGGGATATTTGGCTATGACTTTCTGGATAGTAATGCGTTTTGGAGAAAATATATATTATACGCTCATAAATATAGTGTTATTGTTATCCCGATTTCTGATCACTCGGGTTTTGATGATATAACTTTAACACTTTGTACACATTTTTAATCAGTCTATAGTATATACACGCCTATATAGAACTTCAACTTTTTGTATTTTATGTCTGGGTAAATCTTTGAACATATTATGTATAGAGTATTTTGCTCCGAAACATTTCTAAAAGTGAATGTTCTAACTTTGCATGGGTGGCTGAAAAAATATACTACAGACGTTTATTGTGAGTGTATTTCTAGAACCATTATAATGACTAATACATTTTCATATTTTAAGTAGATATTTTAAAAGTTTTAGTTCTCGGAATTAAGCTTATGCTTTTATAAACTCTATAATATATATCACTGTTGCATATTTTTGGAATATGTCCAATGGTCAAAGTATAATAGCGTTCGTCCAACAGGTAGTTTTTCTCAGATTAAATTTAATTATTACTCATCATATTATTTAACGAAAGTGTAGTTACGCATAGCATTTAACTGTGTACAATTTCGACTAACAAAAAATAATTATATATACCATCATATTATTATCACAATAATGATTTAAACACTCATGCATTCGATATTATTAATTGTAATTAATTATAATTTACTTATTCCAGAATTCAAAGAGTAAGATTAGAAGATGTGCTGTCTGATGTAATGTCAGCACCGCGCCAGGAACGGTGTAGTCAAGCTCGGCTACAGATTGTACTGGTTTGTCCGATATTTTTAGATCGGGTGCTCGCACATTCTGGTCGTTCCGATTGTCTAAGCGCATTGCTGCAAACCAATCGCATGTTGGCTTTATTGGTTGGTGTTGCAGAAGCCGACGTAACTGATCAACACAAGACTGGTGAGTGTTGCTCCACGTTTTTCCACATTACTCGTTAACAATAATTATTATAACATATACCTAAACTCTATAGAAGGCAGTGGTTTGTCGGCAAATATTTATTATATTTTCTATCAATTTGTCATATGTCATGAACATGAGAATGTAACGAAAACTGTTTTTAATCGTAATTATAGTACTGGTAGACTACGATAAGTGGAGGAAAATGGCCGTGAAGGATCAAGATCGAGAATCTGTTGGCGACTTTTACGGAGTGTCTATGGATATTCTCAGCAAATCGATGCATGTCCAACAGGCGATTAGTGTGCCTGAAGAGGATACTAAATTCTCTATTACTCCCAAAAAAATAAAAATCGTGAGTATAAACCTACCTGTTACCATACATTATATAGGACTATAGACATTTTTCTATTGTATAAAAAGCATATTTCGTGACTAATCAATGAATTTTAATAGGGCCAAAACAAACTCATCGTTTTATTATCAGAACCGTTGGTATCGGAGGACAATGTCGTAATCACCGTGGATAAAAACGGGCACAAAATAGAAGTAACAAACGTGACAAGAAGAAATCCGTATACACTGCAATTTAAAATGCCACGTTAGTACACTATTATTATTATATTATATAATTAGCATGTATTATAAATATGTTGTATTAATTATGTCGATAAGATTTATTAAGAATCAATAATCTCATAACATTATTGTCCATTACAGTAAGTTGTTTGCAAGTATCTGTCTTGGTAAACGTTATCGTCGAGAAAAATGGCCAGCCGCTAGGCCAACGTTCGGTGAAGTGCGAGAGCCGCATGAGAGAACTTGATCAATTGATCCGTTCATTAGACAATCCATTGAATTTTTTGTGTCAAGTAAGGATAATTATTTATTTTAAATAATGTAATACGTTACGAACGAAATAAATTATATATTTTTTTCTCTAGACGTTTGGCTTGAATCCCGTCGATAGAGAGCAATTAGATTTGTTTTTAGTCACGGCTTATGTGAAGAACGTTCCGCCCAATTTTCATCTCCTTCAACCAGCGGGATCTCGATTCCAATACTGTAAGTTGATAATCGCTTAACATACATAGTAGGCATAGTATTTATGCCAACATTTATCAAAAACATTTTCCCAGGTTTTCCATATTTATCTATACCTACAACGAAAAAACAATAAACTCTATACAAATTATTATTAATTGTTCTATATAAATATAGGTTTGTTTAAAAAAAATCTAAAGCTATAGGATAGAACAAAGTTTGTTAGATTGCTGACAAACCAAACTACTTTAGTTTTTGATCAACCGAGATTTAATAAATATATTATGCTATCAATTTATAAATTATATTAATTCTAAGCTTCAAGCTTAATAAACCGCATAAAAAACATTATGGACACAAAATATAGAATATTATTTGAAAACAATTACCTACCAATGCGGATATGCGTAAGTACTACGGTTTCATACTGTTTGTAAATTTCACCATGTCTATATAACTATTAATTATTAGAAATATTTTCATTGTACTTAGGTACATACATTTGTCTAACGGTCGAACATTTTTGGGGTACGTTGCGTAATATTTTGTTTGAATTAAAACCACAGCCGGATAAATTCATTAATCCCCTCCTCCTCACTACTAAAAAATAATACTCGGATATTTTTCTATCACAAACCATTAAACAATGTTAAAATTTAATATTATAAAAAGTATCTCTAGTTTTACACATCGCCGACCGATAAAAACTCTGAGGACCCTTAAATTGCTGTTATAAAGGCTCTCGCTGGCTGCAAACTTTCATCTCATAATATAGTATAGACAGGATCCGAACTTATAAATCAAGGACTGCACCTTGTCATAAACGATAATATCCTAGCATATGTATACCTATTTTTTTAAATTTCGATTACGTGGTCGCAGGTCACGAGGAATACCCAACCATGTTGCAATTTGCCGCCAAACATGGGCTGGAGAAACTGTCTTGGCACTTGCTGGAAAGCCCGGGCGGCGAACAGGCGTGCCAACTGCGGAACTCGTCGCAATTGACGCCTGCGGACGTGGCCGAGGCGTCCAACCACCAGAAGCTCGCCCAGGCACTGCGGGCGTACGTGCAAATGACCGAGCTGACTAGTATGTACAGCATACTCAAAGGCATATCGGACGGACACCACCAGCAGCCGGCCGGCGACGACCCTGACGCCAACTACATGCTACCGCGGCCGCTCAACGATAGCTACCTGGTACCGCCCGCGCCCAGGCCGGTGCAGGCCGAACAGCCCGCGGCCGGCGTCCACCCGCAGCAGAGCCACTGTTACACGAACGTTGGCTCACCGCTCACGTCCAACGCGACCATGTTCAATTACCAGATACCGCCGCCACCGCAGTCCATTTTCGCCACCAACTACCAGGTGCCCACCAACGGCCGACCGTACAGTCCGGCGAGCGGCGCGTGGTCTCCCACCCATCCAGTGGTACCTTCCTCGCCGGTCGACCCGACTCCGTCTCCGTTGGGCTACTTGGAAATGAGTTCCTCCAGTGAGTATTCAGTCCCCCCTCCCCCATATCGGTTATGAATTCGTATTCACCATTAGCACCCGGAAGTGACGCATGTTCCCGCGGAAACCTATCGTAATACTGATGATCTTGTAACGATATTTTTTTTTTGTATCATCGAAGTTTGATGAAAAACGTACATTTTCGATGTGACTATATAGATCATGTAGTTGTCAAATCGAATTTGAAAAATGTGTTCAAAAACCTCTGGCAGTAACATTCAAACTCGCATTGACTCTTTCAATCGACCCCCTAGTGAGCATCATATAATTGTAATTAACTTCTCTTTCGTGTCTCATTAAAGGTCTGGGATCCGCCAATTATTTGCGAGCAAATCTGTCATTCAACGATAGTATCCCCAACAAATCAGCTGGAAACAGACCTAACGATTTCTTGGTTTCTAGTTCTCGTGGTATGTATTTTTTTTTTAATTTTCCGTTTAAGTTTTAAAATGCTTGATTTTTTTTTTGTGTATAGGCAGTAATCAAATGTTGTCTACGCCTCAAGACGAGCTGTTGGAAATCATACACGATTTCAAAAATAACGTTCTAACCATTAACGAAGTAGAAAATCTAGTCGAAACGTGGAAAAACCGAAATGATGTGCAACAGTCCTTCAAAGAGAAACAGGTAAGCAGGTGGTGCAGAGCCAGTCGTATATGATGATCGTCTAAACATATTTTTAATAATACATAGGAACAACTGAATCAAATGAGAGTCGAATATGATCGAATCCAACAACGCATGAAAGATCAATTAAAACGACCTACTCCGTTCGATCGCATAAAAAAATTCTTTGGCAAAAACAAGTCAAAACGTAAGAAGATTTTGTTTTTTTAACTCATTGATAAATTAATTTAATATACTCATTGAAATGTGTATTATTGTTTAAATTCTTAGTAATTATTGATAACTATATCGTTCAAAGTCGTAAAATTAAAAACGTTGAAAATGTATACTTACAGATTCTGAAATTTCGCAAGAAAACTTGACGAAAAGAAGTGGTTCAGAACATCATTCTAAAAGACCATCCAGTAGTCTTAGTCTACAGAGCTCAAGCAGTAAGTTATTTAATAGCGTTAATTTCAATAATTTTTAGGTAAAAAAATATCTAAATCTAATTGTTATGCTTGTCATTACAGGTTCTACTTCTTGTGGTCGGTCGAGTACTGTGAGTACTAGCAGCGTGAATGACAACCATACAATCCAACAAGAAAATTTGGACGACGGAAAGGTAATTTTTCAAAAAAAATCAAATGTTATATTATCAACAGATAAATCGCGTTTAGCTATGATTGTATTATTCTGAATTTTTTTTTGTGATGTTTATTTATATTTTTTTACAAGTTAACATATCCTACTCTTAAAAATTTGCTACAAATTACTAGTTTCAACACTGCCAAAAAATTCTATACTTTAATTAAAGCAGAACATTTAAGAGTGCATACCTACAATAGTACAAAACTATATTTTTATCCATTAAGGTGTATGTATGTGTATTATTTATTAATATTTAAGGTTGATATTGACATCTTCTTCGCTGAAAACGTAATTATATTAGATGATTTAGATGTTTTAATCTTATATTATCTTTATTTAGTTTGAGTATGGAAAATGTATCTTTCTGTCTCTATATTATACTCTATACCTATCAGGCACTAGGTACTCTAATATTATCACCATCAATACGTTTTATACCACTTACACGCCCATCGCTTTCGGTGTATTTATGCGTTTTCGTAATCAACTCTGAAACGCTTAATATCGAGTAAATCTAAATCCTTTTTTTCTCTCTATTTTGATTCTATAGCCTCTGAAGTCGTCTTTCTCGTACTTCGATCAGCCACACTCGTTTTCGACGTTCCTGCAACAGAGCAGCAAATCGACTGCCGACTTCGCGGGTCACGATTACGGCAATGTCGTGTACTCGCCCGTGGGCTCCGCGACCGCCGAGACCATCATGGAAGAGGAAATCGAAATGCCGTCCTGCAACGCTTCCCGGGCCCTCGGCGCGTCGGCCATCCGGTGCATGACCGGGATAGCGTGCACGATCGCCACTTCACCCACGGCGGCCGACAAGTCCGAACACGACGAGGCAGCCGGATTCGAGCAGTCTTTCGGCGGCGCCGGTGGCGGTAACAGCTCCGTCAGCGGTGCGGATTTCGAAGACGTCGAGGACAAGGTGCAGAGGTTGTTCGACAACATGCCGGACTACACGAACGTCACGGTTTCCGACCGGAACTCCCGGAAATACACGCCGTTGCAGACGTGAACTGCCGCTCGCCACCGAATTTATTTCGAATCTTTCCACATAAAATCTAATATTTATACTATTATACCATTTACACGTATGATATAATACAATATGTATATAATATAATATTACATTTTAGTTGTGTAAGACGACACGACTTTCCAGAATCAATGTCGACGTCATGATAATATTTTCTAGCCACTCGAAGTCTGTGTAAAATGATATAAGATAATAAAATAGGCTAATCTATACAATAATATAATTAAGTCGTTTAAATAAATTTTTACGATATGTTTTACACGTAACGGACTGGATAGTGATAATTTATATTATTAAATATTTTTATACTGGTGACTAAGGTCAATAAAATATAAATTCTAAAAATTAAAAGTGTTAAGCGTGTACACCAAGCGTGAACCTCACAAAAATATGTGCGCATTCAACAAAAAAAAGTGTACTTTTGAAGTTTGAACTTTTAATTCGTTTTATTTATGAACCTATAATATTATTGTTGTTTATGTTATGATTTTTGTTTATATTTTTACTTCTTGAAATAAACTTTTTTTAAATAAATTTAAATATATATAATATAGTGTTTTAAATTTTGAGTGGAGTCATTAACTATATATTGATTTCACAATGATTTATATATATGTAGAGGTACATGATTTATAATAGAAAAATTGCGTATATTATCAACTTTAATATCCTTTATAGTAGAAAAGTAAATCTAGTTGGCACTTTTGGGTGATTAAATTAAAAACTACAAATACTTTTCACAATAATAGAAAAAATGGGGCTTTTTATACCCCATAACTAGTTTTGCCGAAATAGATTTTCTTCTTTCGAAAACAAATAACCCTAGTTACCTACAATTTTCACCAAATATTTATAAGAGCATTGACTGCTTATGAAATATTTATAGATGTTTTAAATTTAAATTTTCAGGTTTTTTTTCTACTAAATAATATCCACAAACAATTTTCGCTTTCTCACCAACCTTGAAAATTGAATATAAGGTTCCTTATGAGTTTTTCTATCTTTAACAACAACAATTTAGCGGAAAGTCACAATAAATTGAGCTTTTGAAGTTCAAATTGATTTAAAATATGACTATTTTTTACATGCTTTTCTCAGACTCACAATGTTTCATTCATTCATTCATTTCTGTTGTCATCAAATCTTGCGAGTTCAATTTAAATCACTTCTACATGACCCAGGAGGCTCAAATTTTGTATGGAAGTCTAGGGTCGGTGACAATACATGACCCTGTTGTCAATTCTTGACTTGGACAACCAGGTCGCCGATGACGGGTGTACCTGGAAGTCATCTCCAAAGCGCAAAAAAAAGAGGCTAACAAAAAAAAAAACACAAACCCCGAGTTTGTGTTTCATGTTCCCTGCCGGGGACATGAAAAAGTAAAAACTGATAATACTATACGTTCGGGTGTTTTAATTTATCATTTTTGTTCAATAGTTCTTAGCTACGTCAGCAATAATCTTGATAACCCAAGAACAATTTCCAGATTCCTAATGTTGCCCTACAGAAAATATTAGGCCACAATGTTATTGCCTACAAAAATATTAATCGTTGACTCCTGATATACTGTGAATTGTAATGTACAAAGACTCTCAAATGCACACCTCACTAGAATTCGCTAGACATCTCGAGCATGCTGTGATAAAATAATATAAAAATTGTCTGAAAGATATTATTAAAATACAACAATGTAATGCACCCGCGACTGCTGTTATCATGCTGTTGCAGTCTCCCCTCAACCGAATAAATCAGGTTCCATCCCTTGGTAGATAACATTATTTTGTTTCACGGCGTTATATATAGGCAAAATAGGTACGTTTCATATAGTGATTACTGATTACTCTATGAGTATTGTAATTACTTATTGTCTTATTTCATTCGCACTACTTCTGGGGAGTACAATTTTTTGAAAATGTTTAGGTGCCTATAAAAAATTGAACTAGTAATTTCCTAGTTCTTAAAATGTTTATACTAAAGATAATTATAGCTGTCTTTTGTTTTTTTTTTTACATACATTTTTAATATACGTAATATTGGATCTAGTATTTATTATACTTGAACCATTAATACAATTTATTAATGTCAATAGATTAAAATAAATCTTAAAAATGTTCAAATCATCATAGTCCCCATATCATCCAAATCCATTATCATGGATCGATTGTCCTTTGTAATCAAAGATATTTAACTGAAAAACCAAGTCTGAGCAAGTTAATGATAATTTTTAACTGAGTTGAGTTAAGTTGAGAGAAAACATTTTGAAAAGTTTAAAATTTATAGTTCTCCTATTTTTTAAAAACTCAATTAAGTTAAAAGTTATTTGAAAACTCATAATTAACTTATCAACTTAAGTTAAAGTATGTATTTTTTATTTTTAATATATATGTAGCTAGTTATATTGCTTAAAATAATAAAAGGTAAACGTTTATGCAACACATACCATCAATAAAAATTGTATTATATTTATTATTTAATTTTTTATAAATTAAAGAAATTGGATTTGATTAAAATTAACTCGTTATTTATTAAGCTTGTATCAAAAGAAGTCAGTTAACTGTCAAGTTAAAAATTAAGTTAATGAAAATTAAATTGTAAAACGTTAAAATTAACTTAACTTTTTAACTTGTTTATGCCCAGGCTTGTGAAAAACTACTCATTCTAAATTTGATTTTGATACTTTAGATTATCAGCTTAACGATTTACCGTAGAAAAGGAGTATTTGCCATTTGAAAAACAAACATTTGTATCCCCGCAAAACACTCCTTAGTCTTTAAGTTGTACACTATTACGAATAATCTCAAGAATTTTAAAATATGGTCTTTAACAATATCTAAAAATTCAACAATAACTCAGATTTACAAAAACTGCATTATTGAAGAAGGAAAGGGGTGAGTATTATACTTGATAAATGACTCTATAAATAATTATGTGCGTACTCATTTATTTTACATAAATAAAAGTAATAAAAAAATCATTGTACTACACACAGTTAAATCACTAGGTTAAAATTAAAATTAAAATTGCAATGTAAATTCTCCGATTGGTTTTACTGTTTTTGATACCAACAGTCTAATTTTTAAAAGTTCTACCGAGCACTGAGTAAATCGAGATTTGAATTCATAATTAACTATCAGTAAAGCCATTTTTATTTCAAAGTTAACTAATACATAAAGGTATATTATTAGAACTTGTTCACATTTCATAAATGTCTAACGAAAACAACAAACTTTTTATATCGAAAGAATTAAATGTTTTTAAAACAATTTGTAGACACAGTGTAATACCTAGTACACACAAAAAGAACGATAAAATTTCATTTTTATATTAAGTAAATAACAAACTTTTTACAATTGAGTTTCTTCGTCGTAATTTTCTGCAAACTGCATGCAATTGTTTTTCGCTATTTGATGGTTGTTGGTCATTTCTGGGGAAACATACGCAGGAGTTGGGATATTATACTTCGTAAATCCTGATAGATATGACTGCGTACTTAAGTTACTGTAAGATGAATACTCAGAATTATCGTTTGATCTTGGGGTTGAACCATTGTTATCATTATTTTCAAACTCCAAATTGTTAACTATGTTAAAAACTTCCTTTTTCACTCTAATTTTTAAACTTGGAGAAAACGTTTTTACCGTTGATGCCATACTCTTGAAAAAAGTATCAATCGGATCGTCCTTCTCAGATGTACTAGTTTCAAAAATTATTTTTCGTTCTTCAATCCCCCTTTTTAACAACATGATCCACTCTTCGTTCTGCTTTTCGTTTTTGGTTGCGAATTTTTCGGTGACAAGTTTTCTTTTCCCTGGTCTTGAAACATCTCTCTGTTCTGAGGGATCCACGTAGCTTCCTGATGTAGACGGAACTGATGGAAGAAATGGATCATTCAGTTCTCCAACCTCCACGTCTTCGACTACATTCTCGACTTCTTTTCCGGCAATGACCACATTTGTACACTGAGTACTATAGACAAGCATTGAAAGAACAATTTAATGATAAATTCATATTAAGTTTTTTAATTACTCAGAATAAAACAAATTTTTTTACTAACTCTCGATCATACGAAACGACGTCGAGAAATGAAAGTGCATGTGATAGTGCCCACTTTGATGGTTTACTTTTCACAGATGACCGAGCTCCTGATTTTCTATTTCTTTTGTGCTTATTGTAAGTATCCTTCATATTCTTCCATCTCTTACGACAATCATCAACTAAAATGGTTTAATTATTAACGATATGAATTAAATGGTAATATTCTAATTACATTATACAAAGAAAGCAACCAAATATTGCACAAATTATTCGTGTCTTATAAACAATGTCTACAAATAAAATGGCTGTTATAAAATAATAATTAATGTATAAAATGAAACTGTATAAGACGTGAGAAATAATTGTGAGTTTTGCTAGGCATTGGTATCGAATATTTGATAGAAGCAAAATATTCTTGGAATATTTGTCAATACGGCTGCACTACCTTTTGTGTTTTCCTATTCTTATTATTCGACGTTGGTAAAACAGAAAACCTATAAATTTAGACTTGCGTGTATCCCTAGAATTCTCTACAGTCTACACATCATGGCACGTTTTACCATGATTACGATTTAATTTTAGATTCTGAACGGATCAATGAATTAATTTGTCCTACACTGATGATTCCCTTTTTACAAAACCCTCTGAAGACGTACTATTACAATCAGAAAAATAATTTAATTTCCAATATTGCTGGAGGTTTTTTAGAAGACAATTGGATCTAACTTAATTCTCCTGAGTTAAAAAAAATAGTACTCCATACTTTTTTTAAAAAGGAAAAACTTTTTAAAAAATGGCAATATTAAATATTTAAAATTTTCGAAAAATCTATTTTAGTTTCTGAGCGGAGCATTAAATGTATTGATCTCACAATGATGTGTGTTTTCATATTTATTTTTTTTTTTGTGTGTGTCATCACTGTAGGAAAGTGAATCTAGTTGGTGCATTTGGGAGGTCATTATTTGAAATTCCCAATAGTTTTCAAAAACAACAAGAAAAACAAACAAACAATTAGGGAAAAACAGGAATTTTTACTCAAAACCAGTTTTCGAAAAATCGATTTTGGATTTTTAGTGTAACAAAAAAATGACGGTACATATACATGACATTTTTACTGAATATTTCAGTTACCATTTTCTATTTGCCTTAAAATTTTCAAAATATTTTGTTTTGCGTTGAACTATTTATAGGCATATGAACATTTCGATTATTATTTGTTTTTTTTAAACTCAAGTCGATAAAAAAATTTTCTTTCTTTCAAAAAACTTGAAAATGTAATACAAGGTTTATTGTAAGTTGTTGTTAATGGAAATAAAAAAAAAAGTTGAACGTAAATCCACATTAATTTTTTATGAGCGTTTAAACTTAGAATTTTGACAAAATTCGTAAAATCACAAGTCAGCAAATTATAGGTAATTAGTAAGAAATTCATACAAAAATATTTTTTTCATCTAACATTTAAAAATTTAATACAAGATTCTTTATTCGCTTTTCTACCTTTATCAAAAAAAATTTCTACTGGAAAGTCAAATTAAATTTTTATGTGCATTCGAAGTCGAAATTCTTTCAACATCGATTTTCTTATTTTGTTGTAATTCAAAAACAAATTACTCTAGGCACTTGAAATTTACATCCTATGTTTATTTTATCAATCCATATACTTAATAAATTTTTCAAAATATTTTAAATCATTTTAAGCTGTTTACTGACATTTTCAATTTTCATTTTTTTTAGTTTTTTTTTATAAATATAAATTAAATTTTATTGATTGGATCAAAAAGCATGAAAATTTAATACAAGACTCTATATATATTGTTACAATAGCAGTTGAAAAATATTAAAAATACATAGGCACAATTTTTTTTTACAAGCATTTTAAGTTCAAATGTTGGCAATGTTTATCAAATTGAAAATTGAAAATGATATTGTAGTTCAACATTTATAAAATGTTCAATTTTTATAGCTAATTATTAATTTCGTTTTTGAATTACAACAAAATAGGAAAATCGCTATATGAGAAATCGAGTAAATATTCCAATGTTGTAAAAATTTCAACTTCAGACACTCATAAAACATAATTGTGAATTTACGCTCAATTTTTCTTTCTTCTCAATTTCTACTAGCAAGAACCTTATTCTATATGTTCAAGGTTTCTAATTAAGCTCAACATTTTTTATCAACATTAATTTTAAAAAAACTAACAATAATCAAACATTTCACATGCCTAAGATAGCTCAACATGAGTCAAAATATTTTGAAAATGCTAATATCAAGTTTCAGAGAACATTTTTTAATTTTTAGAGTTACACCAAAGACCAAAATCGATTTTGAGTAAAATTTCCTGTTATTCCTTATTTTTTTTTTTTTAGTTTTTCAAGATGCATTTGAAAAGTACTGGGAATTATTGACCTCTCAAATGCACCAACAAGATTCACTTTCTGGAGAAGACACTAACCAGAAAAATGTCCGATACTGAAGTTGAATCGAATCATTATTTTCTTACACACTACACATGCCGACACAAAAATAAAACACAAATCATTGTAAAATGAATATATTTATCTCTCCATTCGGATTCTAAAGAATATATACATATAAGCTATAAGCATATATTTACATTTACATATGATACGGGACTTTATAATAATTTAGTAATAAGTGATTTATATATCATTTGTTTAACATGTATATAATATACCAACATTTAGTTAGTAAATACATAATTTAGTAATTGGTTGTTCCTTAAGTAATAATTATTACAGTGCGTTTGCAGCTTGTATACTCACGACTCTTATTCATATATTCCGATATTTTCTGCCAAACATTATCTCTCACGCCTTGATTTTTATAAAATTTGTGTTCTGCATCGAAAATACAAGGATGTTGACTGACCAATTCCGCAAGTTTTGAATCTTCTTCTTGTGAAAACGAAACAGATTTGGAGGGTGGCATTTTGATGTAAGAAATGTGACTGCCTTTTGACACCTGTCGGAGCAGTCGAGATCGTATACGGCTGGAGTCGCTCGGGCGATAGTCACGCACCGTCGCGGACATCATAGGAATCGGTTTATAATATTATGTAATATTATGTAAGCTATATTACAGGGTAATGAAGTATTTGAGTAAAAGTAGTCAAATCATTTTTTAAATTCCTTTAGCATGAAGTATTTTCGATAGTATTTTTAATACATTTCATACTTTATTACTTATTTGAATACTTTTGGTTTTTATTTTCGAACATTTTATTTTTATTTGAAAAATTTGGTTGGAAAAAATACTTCAATACTACTACAATATTTGAATAATAGTCTTATTTAATGTACTGACGTACCTAGTGAGGGCGGAGAACCTATGAACAAAAAAATAACCAATACGACTGACGAAAATTTTAAAAATATGATGTTTCTAAAGCGTAATAAGCATTTATTTTTTAAAAAATAAACTTACTAAAAATATTTTAAACTTACTATTAGTATGTTAGGTTAATTATAAACCTATAATAAAAAACAAAAAGTTTACTTGAAAAGTATTCAAAATATTTTTTCAAAGTATTAGTATAGTAAAAGTATTTGAGTAGGTAGTATATTAAGATTTTAGAAAAAAAGTATTTGACAACTCAAATACGTTTTTAAAGTATTCTTTACAAGCCCTGTGTATAGTGCAGCGCATCTTCAGAGACGTGCAAAGGAATTATGCAATAAGATAAAACCAGTTAATTGAAAATGAAAATATCAAAAGTTATTTTTAAGCACATTGTAATTGGTAAAATATTTAAATACATCAATAAATTATACAATCTTACGTTTAAGGGAGTTTTAATGAAATGTGTGCATTTTGTTAGATGTCATAAATTCATATTATAATATTTTAATAAAACCAAATACAACTATATAGTCGTCCGTAATCATATCTTATACTTATTTCATAATATTATTGTAAGCTCCGAGTAAAGTTTTCCGCCCACACTAGTTGTCTAATTGCATATTCGCATACATCATTATTCGGTACAATCATTTATGATGACAATGGTTTAAAACTATAAAATATAGTATAATATAATATTATTCCATATTACAGTAATTGGTGAATAATTGTTAGTATTTAGTTTCAAAACAATTGAATTATGAATAAAGCAAATAGCAATAACTAAATAGCCTATTGCCAACACTTACCCACCCCTTCGATTATTTTAGTAATAATAATTAAATACAACTTAAGTTCAGATATTAGGTATCAACTTAAATTTTATGGAAAATAAACAATAAATATCAAATATTTTATAACTTGATTAATATTTTAATTCTACGTATAATAACTATAATAGATACACTGTCTTTAAATATTTTCTGTATCGTTAAGAAGTAAATCAATGCCGGCTGGTATATATTATATTATGAATATATTGATAAATATAATACATTAGGGGGCTGGAGCAGATACAAATAATCACGTCAAACAGACCAAAAGCTAGAAAAAACGATGGGACTTGGGTTTGACGGATTTTTAATTTTGAAAACTAATTGAAAATCTTCAATAACTCTACTAAAGCATAGTCGAGGCAATTTATCATTATCACAAAAATTAATCATATAAAATACCAAACTTCTTATTTTTTAAATTGACGATATTCTATCAAAGAATTTGAATAAATAAAATCCCCTCGGCCATTCCCTAACTAACACGATGACTAATAATTAGTATCCATTTTCAGGATGAAAATCCCTTCGAATCCAAGTCCTTCAATTTTATCTAGCTTTTTGGCATTTTGTCATTTGACTTGCATGGCGTATTTTGATAAAATCTGTATTTTTTACATGTGCCTCCGAGTGCGAATTTATATGCTGACAGTGCCCGGTACTCGATAATGAATTTTACGAAATTAAACACGAAAACACCCATTTACTTCTCACACAGTAATACAGCTCAAATACATGAAGCTATATGAAATTCCTAAATATTACTCCTTAAAACACGTCACGCTCCAGCCACCTTAATAAGTATGAAGAACGTCATTGATTCACATAAGTTAATTTAATTCTTAACGGGTGTGATGGGTGTACATCTAACTGCTGAGATTTTGCAAATCTGATTTTGTTGGATCTCGATGGTCTCGTTGTTCTCGTTGTTCTCGTGATTCTCGTGATTCTCGTGGTTCTCGCGGTTCTCGCGGTCTCGTAAAAAATGAAATAATATCGATTGGCAGTGGGAATACGATTGTAGAATTCTTCTCAGCTGATATTGTGTTTAATGTCTGAAAATGAAATACATTTATGATTATTTATTACATTCACACAAACATTATGACTTTAAATCATTAATTAATGTTGTAAAAAATCGGGTAAGTGTAAGTCCCTCTGCTGTACATTAGGTGTCTAGGAGATCGCTGTAATTGATGGTATTAAATTTGAATTCAATGATATATCGTTGTATACTAAAAACGATTCTGGGTGGAGACTGTATGTCAGTCTAGGATATTTTATATTGTTATTACTGATTTTAATATGGTAGCCAGTAAGTTGAATTAATATTATTCTTAAATTATCAGTGAAGCTGGAAAAATATTAACAGAAATTAAACCTACGTAAAATTGGATAAATTAGTTACAATTTTTTTGTTTGTTTTTCCTGTTGCTTTTGAAAACTTTTGGGAATTTTAAATTTTGACCTCCCGAATGCACCAACTAGATTCACTTTCCTACAAGAAAAGTTGCTGTTGAAAAAATCGAAGCACTTTTATTGCAAGAAACCGTGATGACTGGCACACAAAAAAAAAATATAAAAACACACATCATCATTGTAAAATCAATACATTCATCGCTCCGCTCAGAATCTAAAATATAAAATAGGTATATAGTGAATCGTATACCTCAATACGTATTCAGTTGTACACATAATATATATTTTTTAAATTAATCTTTAGCTTCGTTGTTCATTAATGGTACCAAATATTCGATAGTGATAATATAGGGTAGATTTTAGGACTTGTACTTATAACTGTTTGTTTAAAATATCAAATATACATATCTTAGTATAGTATCTATAAATGTATATTAAAAATTGAGGAAAATAGGTACAACAGTAAAAGTAACTTAAACATAAGTGGAAGAACCCATGGTAAATACATGATTTTGAAGCACAAAAACATTGTAAATTTTAATGTTTCAAAAACAAAACATAACACTGCAATACGACTAATATTTACAAAAAAAAAAAAATCATAAGGTCCTTGAAAATTAAGAACCTGTGGTTTTTACGGATTATCACCAAATATTGTTATAGGAGCGATATGAATGATGTTTAATGGTGGCCAAACTGTATATACCGAATAGCAACTTGAAACAAACTTTAAAATTATTTAAAATTATACAAAACATCCCGAGGTAACATAAATAATTAATTAAAACTATACGATAATGATGACGGTACAAAATATAAGCATTAAACATTAAACGGTATAATACAGTAAAGTCATACGTCATACCTGTAGATATCTGAGTTGTAGAGCAGCCGGAGATTCACTTATGACTTCTGAAGCTTCGCGGAGAGCTCTCGATGCTTTTTGTTCACCTTCAGCTGCGATGACCTTAGCTCGGGCTTCTCGGGCCGCCTCAGCTTCGGCAGCCATTGCCCTCTGCAACTGAACTGGCAATCTCACGTCCTTGCTGAAATGTTTATCGTCGTCGTGCACAATTCTTGTATGGAACAATATCAATGACGAGTAAAGTGAACTCACATTTCCACCCGTTCTACTTTGATGCCCCACGACTCGGTGGCCTCGTCCAGTGACACTTGCATGGTCTTAGATATGGCATCTCGGTCGCTGAGGATTTCATGCAACGGCCTGGTGCCCAAGACGTTTCTCAACGTGGTTTGAGCCAACAACCTAGTAGATTGATGAGCGTTGGCCACATTGGCTACCGATATCGTAGCGTTGCACACCCGATAATAGACCACGGCGTCCACCGACACCGTTACGCTGTCTTTGGTCAATACCTAAATATATAGTGCGGTAGGTACGTCAGGTGATTGTTTTAATTTTTTTTAATATATTTTTGGTTTTGAGATGGTAATCGTTTGGCATGTCACCTACTTTTTTTTTTAGGGCTCTCAGTAATCACTTGGGGGGAACTTCCTATTTCTGTAATCTCACCCCCAAGTTACTGAGTGCATTTTATTTGACAAAGATACAGATTACAATGAACACCAGCATGTCACATACTAGGCACACGCCCCCCCATATTAATCCTATACCTACACGTCACTAAATGACAAAATATTTTGTCATTTCTACATTTCTACAACAATATAATGTTTATGGTCAAAATAATTAAAATGCAAGATCTTAATAGATCTATTACTACGAAGGTTGGTACGACTAAACAAAAAAAAAGTGGACAATTGTACCTCTTCATTGATTAATTCACTGTAATGGACGTATTAAATCATTTCATGCAAAAACGATTCTGATTAGAGACAGTCTGACGATTAAGTACCTATATATTTTTATTTTGTATATTGTATATTATATTAATTTATTTTACTGTTAGTATTACTGAAGGTTGAATTAATAATTGGGGAAAACATAGAATTTTTTATATCATCAATTTTATAATAGTATATATTATTTATGTCATATATTATTGTTATTAACTTTATGCCAATACAGACTTATCGTAGAACGATGTTTCAAGTACTCATACAAATAATATTTTTGAATTAAAACAATATAATTTAGGCCGTTATTCTTTGCTTAAATATCTAACTTCTTCCAAATTTAAAATTCAAATACATATTTCAAATGTCTTTCCATATAAATTTTACTTATATATTTTTCGGATTTTTAGGTTTTAGTAAGAATAACATATATGTTCATATATGAACTTATGAGAAACCTTGTATACAATTTTCAATTTTGTTGATAAAAAAAACGTTATAGATAATGAGTCCAAAAATGTAAAATATCTACAAATAGTAGAAAAAAAGTCTTTATAATATGCATAAAGAATTTTGAAAATTATGTATGTATATTATATACTAGTAGGGATATATTATATAGGTGAAAAAATGTAAGTTTCATTAATTAAATCTATGTTGTATTAATTTTTAATGCAAACATGTATTCATTAATAACATTTTTTATTCAAAATTAAATCATTTTTAAAGTTTTTGTAAATTAATTTAATAAAACTTTACTTAGTATTAGTAATAATTTTTGTTATTATGTCTTTATTGTTTATTTGGTAATAATGAAAAATGTGAAAAAGATTTTGAATCTCTCGAAAACAAACCACAAATCATTGTAAAAAATACTTAAAATATAAAAACATAAAGACCAAACAAAAAATTCCAACAGTATGTTTGATGTTTATACATTTTTTGGAAGTTATAAAAAGTTTTTTTTATTATATAATAAACACCAGTTTAATTTTTTTGTAAGATCATATTTATTAATAATTTTTTTTTTTAACAATATCATATAGTTACTTATACAATTTACATTTGAATTATAATTGTTTACCTATGTTAGTTTATTTTTTATTTCCTGCATGTAGGTCACGCACTAAAACCAAACCTGAAAATGCCGGGTAAGTTATATGCTAAACGAATGCCTTTGGTATTTATCAAATATGGTAAGCACAAACGTTGATATTTTCTTCCCATCCTCTAAAAGATAAATAAATGTACCTATAGCATAATATTTTAATTACTGATTATGACCATCAATGTAATGTAAAAATGTATGCGTTGCCTTTATGGCTAAACTAAGCCTGCCAAACCCACATGTTGTATTGTCTCCATCTTACAAATGTACAGCATATCAAATTTGCGTTCATTGGAACCAATTTTGTGTTTTTAACTTTAATATTAGAGTGATTTGACCTTTTGCCTAATTTAAAGGTATTAATTTTATCTAGTGCATCTCGTAGGTTTTTATTTATATTTAATTTTTAAAGCGCGATCTCTTGACATAAAAAATTAAATAGCAATAAAAACCTACGAGGTGCACTAGATAACATTTATATACCTTTAAATTGTATAATATATTAATTCACTTTAATGTTAAAGCTAAAAACCACAAAATTGGTTCTATTGAACATTTCAAAATGAATTAATGCATTAACGTATACTTTATCGTTATAGAAGTGGCGACAAGTTTTTAGTGTTATAAAAGTTTAAAATACCACCACGATACAAATATTCAATTATAGTAGTAGGTTACCTCGGAGTTTCAGTGATTATAATTGTGTGCTTACAGCCGCTTGCTGTTATTGCCTAACTGCAACGTCTAGGATACTCGTTGACGTTATCCACTCAAGGGGCGACGGAACCCTCTTTTTATTTTTTTAAAGTTATTATTTTTTTTTTCCCCCAGTTCTAAAACAATATCTTTTTATTATTGAAAAACCACGGGTGCAACACAGCCGAATATAATATAGTCTATATACACTCTATACAGGGTCTTCCAAATTTCGGGTGACAAAAATGGTGGGGATTACACTGGTTCTTACGGGACAGATCTGTCTTTTGTCACACAAAATTTGGAACACCCTGTATAATAGTACAGTATTAGCTGGTTGGGAATATATTATATATACCTATATTATTACACGTAATATATGTTTATGAGGAATACATCGATAATATTTACTCAACGATGGCATTGCACGACGGAACCACCACCCACTATAATAATACCTATTATATAATATATTGTAATAACGACGATGGTATTTTAATATTATAATATAATACGATACCTCTTGTGGTGGCACGTCGTAAGTGCGTGTTCTCAAGTCGACACGCGCGTAGTTGTCAATGCAGGGCAAAATGAAGAAAATACCTGGAAAGAGAAAATCGTTCATTGATTGTAAATAATTTAGTGTGTTTATTTAGATGTATAATATTATACTCACCCGGCCCTTTCGCCCCGCCCGACATCAGACGTCCCAGGCGAAATATTACGGCTCGTTCGTACTCCTGAACTACCTGCCAGAGAGATAACGAAATGAATATATTATATTAAATATTGTATAACTGTGCAACAGAGTGCGGAAGGGGGGGGGGGTCGTGTCGACGTAAGTTTCAACTTCCAGTACTTACTTTGAAACAGACGAACAGAGAAAACGGGAACGTGACAACGACAAGCGCCCAAGCACAACCCGTCATGAATTTACCGCATACACCTGGATCGGTTGGCGCGCTGTCTTCGGCTGAAAGGCGAAACGGATTAAATAATAATATTATGGAAATAGTAATGAAATAACCGATGACCGATATGATAAGCCCCCGACCCATATTATGTGGAAATAAATTTAAAAACGAACATTTCGGCAAATCGATCGAAAGAGAAAAACGTGTGTGTACAGGTATCTTGTGCGAGTGTATACATGGTTCTCTATATAGGTATACCTATACGACTATTACCTACCTGCCGATTGTATAAATTATATATTTGTAGAAATACGTGGTGAATGGCGATGTTTGTATGAAAATATACTCTGATAGAAAATGAAATGATTCAAAATTCAAATTATGGAGTATTGAAAAGTTCAAACATTTTGTCGAATCACCTGTCCGTGTAAAAAAGTTATGGATTACGTATATCTTAATATTTTATAGAAAATAATATTATACAACATGAAATGTTAAGATGAAATCAATAACACTTCTAAAGTCTAATTACTCTATAAAATGTGTTGCAAAACGATAAATCGTTAAATAATAAAAAGTACCTTCTAGTTTCTATATGATGGCTGTTAAATGAAAACCCATGACTTTTTATCGTACAGTTAAAACAACATGTTGTATGAAAAGGATTTACAAATAAAGTATCTAACTACATATTTTTATGATTTTTTTTTTTTTTTGAATTCAAAATTATTCCAATTCAATAAAATTCAAAATTTTTTAATTGCCACAGAATCTTTTTCATATGTACCCAACTACCCAAGGATTTATCATTGAAATTAAATTGAACCCATACATTGCAGTGATTCAATAACAAGATTACAAGAAGGTACACTCCGACACTCAGCACCTACTGTACAAAAGATTGATTACCTACTTTCCCCCTTTTTAATTTTTATGGTTAACTTTTATTCCACTATATGTAACAATATGCTAATAAAATATTAAAATGTGATAACTATAAAGAAAAAAACGTCATGATGAGATCCACCCATACCAACTGAAAAAACTTCGACATAAGTTAGCAAATTGTTGATTAAAAATTAGTGAATAATAACATAAATTCTTAGAATGGCTAATTATGTACATTATTAATTAATACTAAAAAAGTAAATTTTAAAGGTCTAAAAATCATCGCTTTGCTCAGAATCTAATGATATTAGAAAGTTACGCAAGTGGCCCATTAGCTCAGTTGGTTAGAGCGTCGTGCTAATAACGCGAAGGTCGTGGGTTCGATCCCCCCATGAGCCAACCAATTTTTTTGCTTCTTTTACGTAATTTTTAGACCTTTAAAATTTACTTTTTTAGTATTAATTAATAATGTACATAATTAGCCATTCTAAGAATATATGTTATTAAGAAGCAAAAAAATTGGTTGGCTCATGGGGGGATCGAACCCACGACCTTCGCGTTATTAGCACGACGCTCTAACCAACTGAGCTAATGGGCCACTTGCGTAACTTTCTAATATCATAAGATTCTGAGCAAAGCGATGATTGTAAACCTAAGACTTGACTACTTGAGACTTGACAATAACATGGTTCTTAATTTACCGATTGTGTCTGTTATAAGTAATAATTGATATTTACCATTTTTGTCACAGGCAATATAAAATAATTTTTAACTTTAAATAAAAATATAATAATTTAATTTTTTTCCAAAGAAAAATTTTAAAATTACAGTTGAATCTTAAAAGGATTATTAATATTCTATGATACATCAAACAATTGAATGATTTTTTTTTTGAGGGAGGAAGGGAGGGCGAACCCTCCTGAGCTCTCTCCCACTACTTGTTTATATTCCTGTTGTTTATATATTATAACAAAAATCGATTAAAATTAAATATTTCTTTGTACAAATTAGGTTAAAACAATGGTCTATCAGCATATTGTTATCAGTTACAACGATGACAACTTGTGTACCTATGATTTATACAGGTATCTCAATTTATTAAACCGCTATTTTATCTTATTATTTCGTATTATTTCAAGTTATCTATACAGCTACTGAATTATTGTCATTCATTCGATTATTGATTGTAGCATATAAATTTATTATTTTCTAAATTTTTACAGTATTTTTTTCCGTTTATATTTTAAATGTTTTTTTAATGTGAAGATGAACAAAGTAGTATGCACTTGAACAATATAAAAGTATTCATTTTTACATAATTACCCAAATATTATATAATTTGTATAGAGAAATCGGTTACAAGAAATAATTCGTTACAACGAACAATTTAACACTCGTATTTCCCTACGAATTTGTTATAACTTAGAATACATGCGTGAGTGGAACATTTCGTGCGGTTTTAAAGGTCTTCACGGCCGTCGGTAATTGTATTGGATTTCGTTCCGTCAATTTTCAAACCTTTGATCTATTCATTATGAGTTATCGTTACGACATAATATAAATACAATTATAATAATGTTATATCGTTTGTGCATTGTAAATATTTGACGAATTGACGCGCACGAGAGGGTACACGTGAAGTATGCAAGTATAAGTACATACACAAATAACATATAGCTATACATAGGTTTTCGCTATTGAACAGTGAACTGAGTAAACTATGCAGGTATTCGTATCGAAAATATATTGAAAACGGAAATGTATTACAAGACTGACACGTGTCATCATGGCCGCCAACGGGTAGTATCCCAAATATAATGGGTATAAATATAATATTATGCAACTTCGAATTTTGATGGTAATTCATGTCACCTAGCGCGAAATAGCATAATATACATCGTACATTATTGTTTTGACAATGACGGGAAGTGAGCTATTTCAGTCGCAGGCGACGTTTGCGACACGAGCCACGCATTTGTATAGGGTACCTTATACCTACTTAGCAGTCACGTCTCCACCGCCATCTACGAACACGACTCTTTCGATATATTTTGATATTAAAGCCGATGCACTTAGCATTGTTTTACGAAGTTAGCTACATGATGTTCGTTTTATGGGAAACACGCTTAAAGTATTTTCGAATCAGAATAAAAAGTGTTTATTAAACATTTGTTTGTATTTTTTGACGATTTAAATTTTTAAATTTTTTTAAGCGTTTTTGGAATTTGGGGCATTTTTGGACTCATTGAATCCAAAATTTGAATTTGAAATTTTATCTTCAGATTTTTTGCGTATACTCACTATCTCGTAGTTTTTCTACACATTTAACAAACTATGACTACCTATGTAGGTACAAGTAGATAAATATATTATGTTCTAAGCCTATAAAAAAAAAAAAATAATAACAAATGGAAATAATTGTTTTTCCTGGATTAAAGAAGTCCAAAACGATCAGTATTCAGTTTTGTCTGTAAAAATATTTTACAACCTTTTAAAATTTATATTATCAATTATATCAAAATTATTAAAAATTCAAATTCAAAAAAACAATAATTACCAGTTATCTATAATAAGTAATATCGAACAATTTAATAATATATTATGTAAGTGAATTGTGCAGACTTTACACAACTTGAGTTAAATTTAAGTAAAAATAAAAATACATTTGTTTTTAATTTTAGTATTTTTTTTACAATATTTTGAACACACAGCAGATAAATTGGTGGAAACAGAAGTCAAACCTTTTTTTAATATTGACGGAAACGGGTAATCTCGCCCGTTCATGTGCCTATTTTATATGATTTGGACCGTTATCTTTTTCCGATCTCTGTGAATTTTTTTTTTAAATTGTCATCATTTTTAATATACATTTTTACGTAATTACGTAAACTGAAAAAATACTAAAGGGGGGTTTGAACACCCCCCCCCCGCGTGTACGCCACTGCTGGAAAGAATGGAGTTTTCCACTTTTCCACCCACCGATTTGGCGATAAAAAAAACATTAACTGAATGCTGAGCGGAAACATCATGTAATTCTTCCAAAGCTTCAACCGGTATCGAAAATGTATCATTCGGCGAAGGCCGTGAAAAACAGACAAAAAAATATGTTTAAGTCCAATTATCGATATGATCGGTATCGGGACATTATCTAGAGCAGAATTTCACAAAACAATGCTTTAGCCTACAGAGTGACGAGAAAACACCACCCCCTCCTCCCCTCGAATTTTTGTTGTTCTTTCAGTGGTCTGGGCTGTTGTGGAGTATATTTCTACATAAACACTAAGACATCTAAAATTACTTATTAGTAATCATATAATACAAGGTGATTCTATCACAAATAATTTGTATTTTGTACTCGTAAAAGGATAATTAAAATCATATACAGTATACACCCATCGGCCATCACTATTTACTAGTCATATTGTGGAGTTCTCAGAATTGTTTAATGGAAAGGAAGGAAAAATTGATCTCAAAGATGTACTCTTGATTTTAGCGTCTCCCGCCACAATAACAATAGAATGTATTACCTAGGTACATTAAATCTAAATACCTAAACAAATATTATTTTTACTTTGACATGCATTAACAAAAATGTATTGTCATTTATAAATGTAATATTACATAGGTATATTAAATTTTTTTGATTCTTGAGAAATGTAATAAAGAACTTTTTCAGGATCAATTACCACTTTTCTATGAATGGCCAACCATGTTAATCCATTGAGGTCGTTCCATTATTAGTTATAAATTATACAGTAGTTTCTTGTTATCCGTGGAGCCATGGAGGTTAGGTTCCAGGAAATTTGGGCAGATGACATGACCATAAAGCAATTTAAAAAAGGAGGTTGTATTATTTTTTTAATTTTAAAAATACAAACGCATTGTTAATACTTTTTTAAATTTTTTATCAGATATTTAATTTTTAACTTTATTTATTAATATCTTATACATACGTTATTAGGAATGATGAAAAAACTTAGAGATAGATGTTTGCCATTTTAAAATGTTTGACTTACATTTATTTATTTATTTTTTAAATATTAAAATTATTTATTTTATATTTTCAATTATGATACAAATTATTTAATTTATATTCTTATATAATATTTTGTAAGTAGTAAGTACCTACCAATAACCCTAACTCGTAATATTAATAATAAGTTATTGCTTA